TGCAATGACGTCGGCCAGTGCCTTCAGCACCCTCGGATGGAGCTCATCCGGGCCTGCCGACTTAAAGGCATCCAGTTCCTCCAAGTGACTCTGCACCATCTCAGGGTCTACGCACGGCAGTCTGGCGCCTTGCTGCTGCCTCTCTACAACCCCAGTGAGAGACTTGTCCTGCCCCTCGCTTAGGAACACTGAGGCAAAGAACTCGTTGAGGAGTTCAGCCTTGTCCCCCCTGTCCGGCACCAATTGCTTCTGTCCATTTAGCAGGGGTCCTATTCCTCCCTGGGTCTTCCTTTTACTCCCTATATATCTAAAAAACAAGTTCTTGTTGTCCTTTTCTTGGGATGCCATCCTCAGCTCCATGGTAGCTTTGGCCTGTCTAGCTGCCTCCCTACAAGCGCGAGCAGAGGAGGTATACTCCTCTTTGGTGATCTCTCCCCGTTTCCACTTTTTATATGCCCCCCTTTTTGCCCGTAGGCTGCCCTGGATTTCTCTGGTCAGCCAAGGAAGCCTCTTGGCCCCTTTCTCCCTTTTTCCCTGCATCGGGATCGTCTCCCTCTGTGCCCGAAAGATCATTTCCTTAAGGCACAGCCACCCTTCCTGGGTTCCCATCTCTTCAAAACTCTTACTCTTCAGTGCGTCCTGGACTAATCGCCTGAGTTCATTGAAATCAGCTTTCCTAAAGTCTAGCACTTTCACCCTGCTAGTTAGCTTACCCACTCGACGTCTTATGGCGAATTCTGTTATTTGGTGATCACTGTCCCCCAGGTGACCACCGATCTGTAGGTCTCCTACCATGTCAGTGCAAGTGCAGAGCAAAAGCAAACATCGCTTCATTGGCACATGGGTCACCTGGCTAGGGGAGCACGTTACGGAGGAGAAACATGCCAGATTTGGCACAAAATGATGAAGAGCTACCAGCGCTCCCATCCTGTCAGCTGCTTTCGGACTTGTTGGGGGCAGCATGAGTTTTGCAGGAGAGAGGAGTGGGAGGGGAGACCAGGGGGTGACCACGGCCCCGGTCTCAGACTGCATTGGGGGCAATGCTGGATCTTGGGGGCCTCTGCCCTGACGGTGCCCCCTGCTTCTCTCTAGTACTTCAACTACAGCATTGTGCTGAGCCTGCTGGCCTGCTCCGTGTTCCTGCAGATCAGCAGCATTGGGAAGCTGGGGCTCATGTTGGCCCTCGCCAGCCTCTACCTGGTGCTGGTGGAGGGACCGGCAGCTGCCCTCTTCGACAACTCCGACCTGCTGGTCGTGGCCAATGCCCTGTAAGTGCCCCCAGGACCCTCCGCCCAGCGCCAGCGCAGCTCGGGGTGGGAGCAGGGGTTTGGGGAGCTGCTCTGTAACCGCTGACTCTTCCCTGCCAGGCCAGTCTACAATGCCACCCAGGGAGGCTCTGGATGGTGAGTGGGGAGCTGTGTGTGGGGGGAGTGTGAGGGTGTCAACTGGGCAGGATCATGCCCCGTGGGTCCCTGGTCTCACATGTGTGTGCCCTCAGCCTGGCAGAGGGGAAGGTGGCACTGAAGTACGTGACGCCCGTGATCCTGGCGGTCTTTGCGCTGGCGTTGTACCTCCATGCGCAGCAGGTCGAGTCCACTGCCCGCCTCGACTTCCTCTGGAAGCTGCAGGTAGGAGGACACAGAGGCATCTGTGCATGCACACGCATGCATGGAGGGGTGTGCATGAAAGGGTGCAAATGGGCTGTGCATGCCCAGGCTGTTGGTGGGGGTTGGAGGGGCCTGTGGCCCCAGCCCCTGATGCCGGCTCCATGCAGGCCACGGGGGAGAAGGAGGAGATGGAGGAGCTGCAGGCCTACAACCGGCGGCTGCTGCACAACATCCTGCCCAAGGACGTGGCGGCGCACTTCCTAGCACGGGAGCGGCGCAACGATGAGCTCTACTACCAGTCGTGCGAGTGCGTGGCCGTCATGTTCGCCTCCATCAGCAACTTCTCAGAGTTCTACGTGGAGCTGGAGGCCAACAACGAGGGCGTGGAGTGCCTGCGCCTGCTCAACGAGATCATCGCCGACTTCGATGAGGTGCCCAGGGTCGCAGGGGGGAATGGGCAGGACCCTTATGCATCGCATGGCAGGACCTTGGGGCCAGGTGCCCAGTGGCCACCTGCCCTGCAGCTTTGTGAGGTGCAGAATGTCTGTGGCTGGAGCACCAGGGAGAGGAGGCACGTGGCATGGGGCCCTCATGCATTGCACAGCATGACTCAGTTCACGTGGTTTTTGCAGTACACAAAGCACCCTGAGCAGCCCTGGCACATCTGTGGCTGGAGCACCAGTGGCAAGGGGGTGTGGCATGGGGCCCCTCGTGCATCACATGGTGGGATCCTGCAGCTCACATGTGGTTTTTGTGGTGCACGAAGGACCCTGAGCAGGCCCTGCATGTCTGTGGCTGGAGCACTGGGGGGAGGGGGAGTGTGGCACGGGACCCCTCGTGCATTGCACGACAGGACCCCACAGCTCACATGGTTCTCATGGTGTGCAAAACATCCTGTCCATGGCTGAAGCCCTAAGGCTGGGGGGTGGGCCAGGGCCCTGGGGCCAGAGCAGGCTCCTCAGGGAGGGTCCCACCGGGCTTGTCCCAGCTGCCACTGCCCCGCAGATCATCAGTGAGCAGCAGTACCGGCAACTAGAGAAGATCAAGACCATCGGCAGCACCTACATGGCGGCGTCAGGCCTCAATGACACCACATACGACCGTGAGGGCCGGAGCCACATCACGGCGCTGGCTGACTATGCCATGCGGCTCATGGAGCAGATGAAGTACATCAACGAGCACTCCTTCAACAACTTCCAGATGAAGATTGGTGAGGGAGGGGCCTCGGTGTCGCTCGCCTGCCCAGCCTTACAGCGGCTGTGGCACATGCATGTGTGTGTGGCAGTCAGGGGAGGTGGCCTGCACTCAAGGGAGGGCAGGCTTGTGACACACGTGCATGTGTGTGCTTGTACACATGGGATTGCCGGGATGCGGGGTTTTGGGGGGCAAGAGTGCTGATGCCCCGTGCCTGCAGGACTGAACATCGGGCCAGTGGTGGCAGGGGTGATTGGGGCACGCAAGCCGCAGTATGACATCTGGGGCAACACTGTGAATGTCTCCAGCCGCATGGACAGCACGGGGGTGCCTGACCGCATCCAGGTGAGGCTGCAGCCTGGCAGGCGGGGGGGTGCTGCACCCCAGGTGGGTGCCCATGATGCTCCCCCTGGGCACGGGACTCTGCTCACCGATGCTCCCCCCAACCCTGCAGGTGACGACTGACCTGTACCAGGTGCTGGCGGCCAAGGGGTACCAGCTGGAGTGCCGCGGGGTCATCAAGGTCAAGGGCAAGGGCGAGATGACCACCTACTTCCTGAATGCTGGCCCTGGCAGGAGTTAGCAGCCGGGGCCCAGGGCTGCCGTGGACGCTTGCCGGCGTCTCCTGAACGGCTCTGGAGTTAGGCAAAGAACTCTAAAGGGAATCAGACCCCCCACTTCCGGTCCCCCATTTTGGCCTGCCCGCCCCCTGCCCCCCCAGCAATCCTGCAGGGAAGGGGGATCTGCGGCACTGAAGGAGCATTTTTACAGTGGACCTTTTATTTATTTATTTCCTGGCGGAGCCAGCACGGGGTTGGGAAGGAGGGGGAATCGGGCTCCCCCCAACCCTGGATGCTGCTGCTCCTGTTTGGAATAAACCAAAGACAGGCGGGCGTCCCAGCCCCGCAGCTCGGACGAGGGGGTCCCTGGCTCCTTCCATCTGCTGGCTTTGTGCACCGCTGGACTTTGCACCAGCTTCTGAAGCCGGTGCTGGGGGGGTGCAAGGGGGAGGGGAGGTTCCCATGGTCACTCGGCCCCTGCTGCCTGCCCCGGCATCTCACTGTGAAGTTTGTACCGTACAGCTGGGGGGGAGGGGGGCAGGGGGAAACAGTTCTTATTTGCCAAAATTGCACCCACGTCCGGCACAGCAGGCATCCCCGGGTGGGCCCGGGAGGCCTTCAGTGCTTTGCCAGCTGGAGGGTTGCACTTGCCAAAGAGGGCTTGGGGAGTGGCTGCGGGGCAGCGGGGCGGGATTGGGGGGCGGTATGTCCTGCCCCAGCCTGGGGGGGCACCTTTAGCCATGGCCCCACCCCCACCTGGACCTGGGGCGCTGGGTGCCCCTTCCCTGCAGCCAGCTCCTGGAGGGCCGGGCCCCCACCCCATGCCTGGAGCTGACCATGTGCCAAACCCAAGTGCCGCGGGCCCGGTGCTGCCCCCGCCCCATGTGCCTGATGTTTGGGGGGGGCTCGACCCCCCCCCTCCAGCTCAGCCAGGCCCTGCTTATCTCAGTAACCCTGTGCGGCCTCACTCTGCCCCCCGCAACGCTGCTGTCCTGTACCACGGTACGACCGCGGGGGCCCAAATCAGAGCGGGGCAACAGAAGAGGGAATTCCCACCCCCAGTTCTGACTCTGTGTGGGGACAGCTGGCCCTGAGGACTCACTCGGGGCTCTGCCTGTGCAAGGATGCCAGCCCCCACCCACCCAGTGCATGGTGTGTGGCACACTCTGCCCCTCTGGGCAGAGATTTCTCACCCTCCTCTGCACTGAACGCAGCACTCGGGGGGCAGGGGGCTGCAAACCCTGCCCCTGGGTATGGGGCAGGGGGTGGCAGCCAGGGGGCCCCAGTTGTCCCCAGGCCCTTGGGGCTGGGCAGGCATGGGGGAGCCCAGCAGAGCTGCCCGGGTGCTGGAGCCGCAGAGAGGACACTCTCAGCCCGTCCCCATCCATCGCCTGTTTTAAATGCAAAAAATGAAGTGATTTCTCTGTTTCTTTTTACGTGGGGGGGGAGGGGGGGGCTGCAGCTTGTGTCTTGGGGGCTTTAAGCTGACGCTGGC